TTTACAGTTTACATGTAGGTTTATTAGGTTTACGGTTTACATGTGGGTTGATGAGGTTTACATTTTACATGTGGGTTGATTAGGTTTACGGTTTACAGCCAATGGTGTTGTTGTCGACATCACAAGTTTAGTTAGTTTGATGGGCTGTAGGTTGATGTATATACTACATGTTGGCGTTTGTCTAATTGTAGCCGTACCACGTCATCGCTCAACTCTTCACAATTCTACCATCATGTAAACACGCAGGACAAAAAGAACTAATTTTATGTTCCAGTCAATGCTTTTAAAGATCCACGACATAAACAACTTTTAAGTTTTTGGTTCCAATCCATATTTTCAAATACCCACGATGAAATCAACTTTAAAGATATTTGGTTCCAATCCATGTTTTCAAACATCCACGACATAAACAACTTTAAAGTTTTATGTTCCAATCCATGTTTTCAAACATCCACGACATAAACAACTTTAAAGTTTTTTGTTTCCAATCCATGTTTTCAAACATGCACGACATAAACAACTTTAAAGTTTTATGTTCCAGTCCATGTTTTCAAACACCCAGTCATTAGATCAAACATCTTTGGTCAATCATTGATCGGTTCACGCGTCACCAATAGCTCACAGTCAATAAACCAGTTGTTCGATCAGTCGATTTATTCAAGTCTAGTCAGATTTCCTACAGTCTGATTCATACGACTTTGATCTACCAATTTTTTTTTTAAATACAAAAGTTTTATTTTAATGGGTTGCTTCAAAGAGATGGCTGAAGTATTTACACTTTTACTGTCGACAACGTTTTTATTAGAGATGAAATCCACACGTCAACCGTCAACTACAACCAAACAGCCACCCCCCCCCCCCACAACCTGTAGTTTCCTGTTCCATTGTGTGTCTGACTTAGCCGTTATGGTGTAACTAACATTATTGAAATATGGCCGCCTATTGTCCCTGTGTTGTTTTTGTGAGACTCGAATCAACTGTATCGTGACGTCACATGTGTGTTTGTTCGTGTCTAAACACCGTTGGGGAGGAAAGTTCTAGAACATCTGGAGATGATGCTGGCAATAGGTGATGTTGCTGGCAGTTGGTGGCAGTTGGTGATGTTGGTGATGTTGGTGATGTTGGTGATGTTAGTGGCAGTTGGTGATGTTGGTGGCAGTTGGTGATGTTGGTGGCAGTTGGTGATGTTGGTGGCAGTTGGTAATGTTGGTGGCAGTTGGTGATGTTGGTGGCAGTTGGTGGCAGTTGGTGATGTAGGTGGCAGTTGGTGATGTTGGTGATGTTGGTGACGTTGGTGGCAGTTGGTGGCAGTTGGTGATGTTGGTGATGTTGGTGATGTTGGTGATGTTGGTGATGTTGGTGGCAGTTGGTGGCAGTTGGTGATGTTGGTGATGTTGCTGATGTTGGTGGCAGTTGGTGGCAGTTGGTGATGTTGGTGATGTTGGTGGGACTTTGGTGATGTTGGTGGCAGTTGGTGATGTTGGTGATGTTGGTGATGTTGGTGGCAGTTGGTGGCAGTTGGTGATGTTGGTGGCAGTTGGTGATGTTGGTGGCAGTTGGTGATGTTGCTGGCAGTTGGTGATGTTGGTGGGACTTTGGTGATGTTGGTGGCAGTTGGTGATATTGGTGGCAGTTGGTGATGTTGGTGATGTTGGTGGCAGTTGGTGATGTTGGTGGCAGTTGGTGATGTTGCTGGCAGTTGGTGATGTTGCTGGCAGTTGGTGATGTTGGTGGCAGTTGGTGATGTTGGTGGCAGTTGGTGATGTTAGTGGTAGTTGGTAATGTTGGTGATGTTGGTGGCAGTTGGTGGCAGTTGGTGGCAGTTGGTGGCAGTTGGTGATGTTGGTGGCAGTTGGTGATGTTGGTGATGTTGGTGGGACTTTGGTGATGTTGGTGGCAGTTGGTGATATTGGTGGCAGTTGGTGATGTTGGTGATGTTGGTGATGTTGGTGGCAGTTGGTGGCAGTTGGTGATGTTGGTGGCAGTTGGTGATGTTGGTGGCAGTTGGTGATGTTGCTGGCAGTTGGTGATGTTGGTGGGACTTTGGTGATGTTGGTGGCAGTTGGTGATATTGGTGGCAGTTGGTGATGTTGGTGGCAGTTGGTGATGTTGGTGGCAGTTGGTGATGTTGGTGGCAGTTGGTAATGTTGGTGGCAGTTGGTGATGTTGGTGGCAGTTGGTGGCAGTTGGTGGCAGTTGGTGATATTGGTGGCAGTTGGTGGCAGTTGGTGATATTGGTGGCAGTTGGTGATGTTGGTGGCAGTTGGTGGCAGTTGGTGATGTTGGTGGCAGTTGGTGATGTTGGTGGCAGTTGGTGGCAGTTGGTGGCAGTTGGTGGGAGTTGGTGGCAGTTGGTGGCAGTTGGTGATGTTGGTGGCAGTTGGTGATGTTGGTGGCAGTTGGTGATGTTGTCGGCAGTTGGTAATGTTGGTGGCAGTTGGTGATGTTGGTGGCAGTTGGTGATGTTGGTGGCAGTTGGTGATGTTGGTGGCAGTTGGTGATGTTGGTGGCAGTTGGTGGCAGTTGGTGATGTTGGTGGCAGTTGGTGATGTTGGTGGCAGTTGGTGATGTTGGTGGCAGTTGGTGGCAGTTGGTGGCAGTTGGTGGGAGTTGGTGGCAGTTGGTGGCAGTTGGTTATGTTGGTGGCAGTTGGTGATGTTGGTGGCAGTTGGTGATGTTGTCGGCAGTTGGTAATGTTGGTGGCAGTTGGTGATGTTGGTGGCAGTTGGTGATGTTGGTGGCAGTTGGTGATGTTGGTGGCAGTTGGTGGCAGTTGGTGATGTTGGTGATGTTGGTGGCAGTTGGTGATGTTGGTGGCAGTTGGTGATGTTGGTGGCAGTTGGTGATGTTGGTGGCAGTTGGTGATGTTGGTGGCAGTTGGTGATGTTGTCGGCAGTTGGTAATGTTGGTGGCAGTTGGTGATGTTGGTGGCAGTTGGTGATGTTGGTGGCAGTTGGTGATGTTGGTGGCAGTTGGTGATGTTGGTGGCAGTTGGTGGCAGTTGGTGATGTTGGTGGCAGTTGGTGATGTTGGTGGCAGTTGGTGATGTTGGTGGCAGTTGGTGGCAGTTGGTGGCAGTTGGTGGGAGTTGGTGATGTTGGTGGCAGTTGGTGATGTTGGTGGCAGTTGGTGATGTTGTCGGCAGTTGGTAATGTTGGTGGCAGTTGGTGATGTTGGTGGCAGTTGGTGATGTTGGTGGCAGTTGGTGATGTTGGTGGCAGTTGGTGATGTTGGTGGCAGTTGGTGATGTTGGTGGCAGTTGGTGGCAGTTGGTGATGTTGGTGGCAGTTGGTGATGTTGGTGGCAGTTGGTGATGTTGGTGGCAGTTGGTGATGTTGGTGGCAGTTGGTGGCAGTTGGTGATGTTGGTGGCAGTTGGTGATGTTGGTGGCAGTTGGTGATGTTGGTGGCAGTTGGTGGCAGTTGGTGATGTTGGTGGCAGTTGGTGATGTTGGTGGCAGTTGGTGATGTTGTCGGCAGTTGGTAATGTTGGTGGCAGTTGGTGATGTTGGTGGCAGTTGGTGATGTTGGTGGCAGTTGGTGATGTTGGTGGCAGTTGGTGATGTTGGTGGCAGTTGGTGATGTTGGTGGCAGTTGGTGATGTTGGTGGCAGTTGGTGATGTTGGTGGCAGTTGGTGATGTTGGTGGCAAATGGTGATGTTGGTGGCAGTTGGTGATGTTGGTGGCAGTTGGTGATGTTGGTGGCAGTTGGTGATGTTGGTGGCAGTTGGTGATGTTGGTTGCAGTTGGTGATGTTGGTGGCAGTTGGTGATGTTGGTGGCAGTTGGTGATGTTGCTGGCAGTTATTAATGTTGCTTGCAGTTGGTAATGTTGATGGCAGTTGGTGATGTTGGTGGCAGTTGGTGATGTTGGTGGCAGTTGGTGATGTTGGTGGCAGTTGGTGATGTTGGTTGCAGTTGGTGATGTTGCTGGCAGTTGGTGATGTTGGTGGCAGTTGGTGATGTTGCTGGCAGTTGGTGATGTTGCTGGCAGTTGGTGATGTTGGTGGCAGTTGGTGATGTTGGTGGCAGTTGGTGATGTTAGTGGTAGTTGGTAATGTTGGTGGCAGTTGGTGATGTTGGTGGCAGTTGGTGGCAGTTGGTGATATTGGTGGCAGTTGGTGATGTTGGTGGCAGTTGGTGGCAGTTGGTGATGTTGGTGGCAGTTGGTGATGTTGGTGGCAGTTGGTGATGTTGGTGGCAGTTGGTGGCAGTTGGTGGCAGTTGGTGATGTTGGTGGCAGTTGGTGATGTTGGTTGCAGTTGGTGATGTTGGTGGCAGTTGGTGATGTTGGTGGCAGTTGGTGATGTTGCTGGCAGTTGGTCATGTTGCTGGCAGTTGGTGATGTTGGTGGCAGTTGGTGATGTTGGTGGCAGTTGGTGATGTTGGTGGCAGTTGGTGATGTTGGTGGCAGTTGGTGATGTTGGTGGCAGTTGGTTATGTTGGTTGCAGTTGGTGATGTTGGTGGCAGTTGGTGATGTTGCTGGCAGTTATTAATGTTGCTTGCAGTTGGTAATGTTGATGGCAGTTGGTGATGTTGGTGGC